CAGGACAGTGAACTTGTTTGGGTTATGTCATTCACTAACTAATCATTTATTTTTATGTTTTCAGTGTATTTCGACAATGACCTCCACTGGGAGGGCCATACAGATTATTTTTTATTTTATCTCCATTTCTATTTCCATTTTACTCTCAGCTGCTTTTACAGCGTTCATGTCCGTGTCCTGCATACCATACAGGCCTTGTACAGTATGTTCACTCCTTGGACAGACTTGGATAGAGTTTTAATCTACTGCTGTTTATCTCTTTCTCTTCTTGTTGGTGCCGAATGAACTAAAAACCTTTTCCAGAGAAAGAAATTTTTGCTCCAGAATTAACCAAAAGACTATTTTCCATCTGTTGTTCTTGGACAACGCTCAATTTGTCCTGCTAAAAACAAGGCTATTTTTCCCAGTAGTTTTGTTGTTTAATAAAGAGGCGGTAAAATATAAGTATTAAAAAAAAAATCTTCTGACTGGCATAAATGTTATTTCACAGTGTTGTCTTCTCCTGATTACTTGACAGTAGTTAAAATGAAGCTCGACTCCAAACTACTGAAGTAAGCAGGGAGTGAGATAAATGCTTTGCTATGCTAATTGTTCTTTCATTAGCTTGTTAATTGTCACTTTGCTTTCTTTGCACCACAGCTGCAAGATGTAATTCTTGGCTTGTTAGCAGCATGTCATTCCCAGCCAAGAACTGTTTCTCAGTTCTTTGTCTGAAACATGGTGGACACTCACATGTGATCCTCTTTCTTCTGTCTACCCATAAGTTATATGAAAACAGATTACTTAAAAAAAAATTCTGATTATTGATTGACAGTCCTCTATTCTTTTCTTTGCACACACATCTCTACGTGTTTCTAAGCTTTAAGATCAAAGATTAGAAGTTAAGTGCATCTCTACCTGCTGAAAAATATATTAGATGGATTCCAAATGACTGAGGTGGGATATATCCTTTTTACAACAAAAATGATACAAAAGGAAATAAATTAATCTCTAAATACTTTACAGCTTTCTATTCATCAACCATTTCTTCAGAGATTAGCCTCTAATGATTTTCATTGTAATAGCCTAGAAAGAATAAGACAGCAATGGAAACTACTGCGCTAAATAAGTGACTTATCTGCTTTGCTTTTACTACTTCAAAAGAAATCTTTGTCATGACATTTTAATAATAGGCTAACCAGATTTATCATAAGATATAATGTCTTACTTATAGTCAAAACTTCTATTATAAATAAAGGTTAAAGAAAATGGATGGATATCTTGTTTACATTTATACTTTCTCCTGGACCTGTGCCATCAGGTTTGTTAAAGTCTTACTCTGCTCACTCCCACAGTTATTTTATTTTATTTCATTTTTGTGTTTACGCTCTGTTGCTTCGGGCCCAACGCCAGCTGTCTGTGGGTAAGGCAGCGTTTAGGCGATAATTGGTATACCTCGCGGTGTACCTCCCTGCCCTTTGTGGAGCATGCAGACATTACCAAGAATTACACAGTTATTATTAAAGCTTGCTCTGGACGTCGGATGTTCCTGGCAAACATTTGGTTTTTCAGAGCCGTCAGATATCTTTACTTCCTGTGAATTTTGATTTCAAGTGAATCTTAACCAAACATGTAAGATCAAGATTTGCTTTAGCAGTTATTTTCCATGTGCTATATTAAGAAATCAACTTCAGCTTGTGAGGAGTTTAATTAAAGGAAACGTGAACTTCAGTGAACTTCAGTCAGTTCTGTCAGAGATTAAAAGTTCTGATTGTTAAAATGTAATAACCCATCTGAGAGCGTCTGTAAAAAGGAAGAAAAATAAATTATATATAATATTATGTATTTATTTTCCTTTTGGGTATTTAAACTATTTTTTTTTTATTTAACTGGATTTAAATAAGATGAGAAGAGGGAGGAATACTCTGGCTTCCTTCACCACTCTGTGACGACGACCAGCATAAACTCTTTGGCCGACTTTTCTAGTAATAGCCGACCTTCGTGTCGGCTCAGTATCTTGGCTAAGCGAGACAACCCTGAGGCTAAATTGTGCCATTTCTTTCAACATTTGGTGCTCTTTAATATTTCCCCGTTGATAATGGTTCTCTTTTCTCTCTGTTGAACTTTAAGAGGCACTTAGATTTCTTCCTCTCGCTGCTTCCCCTCAAACACATAAAAATACATACAGAAACGAGTTAATACATGCATCATATGAAAAACATATTTGTTTCTTGTTTGACATTAAAGGAGATAAGATTTGAATTTTTTTTTCACTAGCAAATTCTGGATTCTACATGTATTCTCTTATTATGAAGTACAAATACATTTGAAACTGTGTAACTTGGGTCAAACCTTCTGGGTGTTCTTCCACAAGCATTTCATATTGTTTTCCGTTTCCAGTAGCAGTCCAGTTCTTACTGACAGAATTGGTTTAAGTGAGTCAGTTTGCAGGTCATTTTTCTTGTCCACACCTTTTCAGCTCTCCCCACAAATTTTCTATGTGAATAAACCCCAAGTTTTTTGATTCATTCCCAATTACCAGAACACACTTGATGGCAGTTATTTCAGCTAAGAGTGTGACGAGATGCTTCTGTTGAGGACCAGAGAAACATTTAAAACATGCACATATTGGTTAGGATAGTTTTGGGGTTTTTTCCCCCTCTGATCATCTAAATTCCGATTTGAATTTTGTATTTTCTCGGATTATCTTTGCGTGATAGTTGTTTGACAATCTGAAAAGTGGGTAACAAAAAAGCAAAAACAAAAAATCTGTAAGGAGGCAAATACTTTTTTCACTGCACTGTACACACTTGAGATAACTCTGTAATTGACAAGGTATTTCCATTACACAGAGTTGGGCCTCCACTTACTCAAGCTGATCGGACCGTATCTCCCCGCATTCATTGCTTTGGAGACCATCATTGGCTGATATCATCCCCGCAGTAAAACTCTGCGCTGGAAAGATAAGATTTGTCTTTGGAGTGTAACCTCTGACGGAGGCACACATGCGTGAACTGTTCTTTATCATTCTCTTGGATGGAGGAAGGACTTTTGAAACCTTCGAAGTGTAACCTGAAGAACTATTAAGAATTGCTGTCCGTGCATCCAGCCTTTCTAAAGCTCTGTAAGGCCGAAGCTGAGAATTGGGAAACCCTGCGGCAGAAGCTCGTTGGGAGCATCAGGACCGAGTCGACTTGCAGTTTCCTTCTTTGTGCGTCCAAATCAGCAAACAAACCAACGCCATTCCCCCAAAGACTCTTATAGCTGTTCTAGCTATTGGACTGCTCCTTTGAACTGGATTTTGGAGATTGTTTCAATCTACCTGAGGTTGATCACCTCAAAATAATAATAATAATAATAAATTCAAGTGTCTGGGCTTTGACAAATTAGTTAAATAAGATGATTTAGCCATCTTTATTTTTTACGTTGGCTTAATGCTTCTTATTGAAGACTTGCTGTTAAAATGCTTTGTGAAAACTGCCACGTGTTCAAACTTTTGTATCCAAGTTAGAGTTTGAATAACGTGCATTGAATGATTAATTGATTTCAGTGTTTCATTTTGTTCATCATAAGCCATTAGGGATTTGATCCTTTACTCTTTACTCATTTTTCTTCCCCTCTCCTCAGTAGTTTGAGGCATGCTGGTGGTTTAAGAGTAGAGTTATTGACGGGATGTTTTGACTGTAAGGTTGAGCTAGTTTGTTAATAAATATTCAGCCTTCAACTTTATTAATAATTTCATCAATAATAAATTATGAATCATACATATTAAAAATGACATAGGTCAATCGTTGCCACAATTCTCGTTTCCCCAACAATACGCAGCTATGGGAGATGAAAGACCTTAAAAATCAACAAATGATGAGAATACATGCCATGCATGTAACATAAAGAGAAGGCAGGAGCTTTTTGTGCTTACCAGAATGCAGACGTCAGAGTGCCCATTTAATTAAATCAAACAGTATCAGCAGCTGCTAATGTTTTGTCCAGTTTCTCCTTAATGATTGTAAGTAGCTGTTCCTGCCTGTGTGCTGCAACCCCTGAGGTTGTACAGAAACAGTTACAGCACTCTGCAAATTTTGTCGTGTTGTCGTGTCAGTTGGGTGAAGGCAAACCTTTTCAGAAATCATATGTTGCCTTAACTTTTTTTTTGTCTTCTTTTGACTTTCCCAGCTCACTTTTCAAGACGGAAATAATGACAAAATGGCGAAGCGTTTTGTGGCCGGCTGAGCCGCGCCCCGCTGCGACTCAGCATGGCATTGTCGCTGTGCCCTTGTTTGATGTTCCTATGTTTGTGTCCTTCTGTGGGCACCGTATGGGTCCCTCAGTGTCACCGCATCAACATGGCTGCGAACTGCTGATATGAGCTTTAGATTCAGTACGGGGGAACATAACCTGTTGCTGATGAAATGCCCCTTAATCTAAGTGGGAGGGTGTTGTGTGTACAAACACTATTGTGGGAGTATTTGCATTGGGCCTGAGGTGGGTGTTTATATTTATATTCTCTAAGGAAAGGTTGGAAAATGACCTGTCTCCCATGATTACATCCTTGGTAAGTGGAAGTGACGAGGTAATTGTGAAATCTATTTAGGAGAATTGTTGCCTGTCTCTCTTCCTTCCTCTCGATGCTCCTCTGGTTCAGGTCATTAGTTGATTCCTGTCTATTTTTTTCCCTCCTCTCCACTCTTTGTCATCTTTTTTCGTGTTCTTGTTTTGTTCACAGTCTGTTTTCATTTTTCTCTTGTTTACTCCATTCCCTGGCTCTTTACAGCGCCGGATTTCATACTCTTGCTGGAAAATGTTTCACTCTGCTGTCTTTGCTGTCGCAGAATAAGTGAGTTTGTAGGAAAAAAAGAAAAAAAAATTCAGCATCAGCCAAATCCTCTCATTTTGAGATGCTCAGTAACAGAGAGAATGTCACTTAGCTGACAATCAGCCATGAGGGATTCCTGTTCAGTTTCGTGTTCTACATGTTCGGGTCGTGTTCTTACGCAGGTGCCTTTCTTGTGTGTCTCATTCAGTGGCGGCCGTTCCTCCCAGGTCTGAAGTATGAAGTGATAGACTCAGCTTACATCTCCCTCTACACAGGTAAGGACATTTCATATATATATATATATATATATATATATATATATATATATATATATATATATATATATATATATATACAAAAACCTTTCATATCAGTTTATTTACGACCAATTTTTATAAAACAAAATTAAAATTTGGATCTGGGTTGTTGTTTATTTTTTACTTTTAAACAACAATGGGCTTGCTTACCATTATTATATTTTGAAATGTTCTTTGTTATACTTGGTCTTTGTTTTGCTTGCACGTAATCTTATCACATACAGAAACAATTTGAAATGTAGGACTAAGCATTGACATTTCAACAGAACTAGGCTGGTTTATTGTCTGTCTTCCATTAAATGTTGATTTGATCATATATTTTGGATCATTGTTCTGTTGAATAGTTAAAGACTCAATTTCAGTGTTCTGGCAGCGTTCGGCAGATGATAAAAAATACATATATCTTCAAAGCTATAAATATAGGATTATACTACATCCATAAAAACATCTACAGCGGGGGGAATGGGGGGGAATGGGGTTTACACACAATACATAATCCAGAGATGTCATTGGATCTGGCCGACACCGCATATGCTCTACTTGTGTCACGGTATTTGCAGCAAAGCTAAGAACTCTGCACTCTGAGTAGGTGCTTAACCTCTGCAGCACCAAGAATAGCAATGTGTCACAAGGCATCAGTTACACTGAAAGCGGAAAATGCCTGCTGCTCCAGAAATGATGCGCAGAGTTGTCAACTTGAGCAAAACCGCAGTGTTGCTTGGCTGTGAGCCAAACCCAGCGGCCTTGTTTATGACGAGCTGCGACAGAGAAGAATGGGGCCTCGTACATCGCAAGAGGTCACTCGCTGGATTCGGGCATTACCTTCTCATCATCTTCCAGCAGCCATCCATCCTGTCCTCCTGTGTCTCACCCTCCCTCCTCACTAGTTCACGTTACGTACACAGGCCAGAAAGCGTTTGAGATTCATTCATGTTTGTGAAATTATGCCACCGTGTGTGGGGTTCGTATGTGTGCTTGGCGCAATTTAAGAACAAGAGAGGGGAAGTTGTATCAAAGTAATTCTATTACATTTTCATTTTTAATAAAACCTTAAGAAATATCCTTTTTAGAAGGACAGCCTATTAAAGATTCACATTATGTCTCATGGATGCAAGTCAAATTGGTTTCCTTTCAATCTAAAAACTGATTTTTCTCGTTTTATCTTGGAAAATTAAACCTGGTAGTGCAAAACAGTAGAAAGCTTTCCGTGAACTTGAAGAGCACTCTAAATAAGAAAATTCTATCATTTCCTATAATTATTTTTTCTGATCTTGCCAGAAATAGTAGAGCTGATTTAAACTGGATGCTTTTGCAGCATGCAGATATTATGCTTATCCTCTAAATTGTCAATTAGATTGATGTTTTCCACTTTATAAACTTTGTGTTAGCTAATCCACATTTTTGATCTGTGTTTGGGATTATCATCTTGTTGTACCACTCACAACTGTCCACGTTTTAACCATCTAATTGTCAGTTTGAGGTGAAACTTGAAGAATGTCATTGTTTTACCCAGTTTGTGGAATCTAAGAGTACCACTGGAAGCCCACAGCATGATGCCACAGCTACCATGCCTGACAGTTTACACAAAGTTCTTCAAATGTAATTCCTCACATTGACATCTCCAAACCTTAAAAAGTGCCAATTTACGAGATGTTTGTTTTGTTGTTGTTACTCCGATGAAAAAAGAAATCTCCAACAAAATCTGAAGTTTCCTACTTCGAGACATACGCAGCGGAGTGATCAAAAAGTCTTATTGTCAAACAAAAAGAAGCTTACAAAGGCTTACTTTGTGTACCATATGCACATATAGACTCAGGGTGTTGCACAGTTGACCCTTGTGACCCCTGTTAATTACAAATCATGTCTTCCATAAGCCCTTGCTCCCGATTTGCCATTAATCACACATTCTCTCTCCTCCCTCCCCGCTATCGATTGCTGTTATTATGACCGCTCTGTTCTGGATTTCTTTTGACCTCCAGATTATTTTTCAATGTTTCTCTTTTTGTTTTGGCTACTGTTGTTCTTTATTCATCAGATAACTTTTTTTTTCTTCTCACCTTCCTCCTGCTAGCTTTTTGACCTTATGCACCCTGTCAATAACTGTGACATTGACAGGATTTATTGATTAGAAGGAAACTTTGTAACAGACAAAATCACATTGATAAGAAAACCGCCATGGTTTCTTTGTCCCCAGATGAGTCCAGTCTGAAGATGAACAGCGTGGATCACATCCCTCAGACTTTGGCCAGTCACATCCATCTCCCAGCAGAATTTCGGCCACAGGGTCTGGAAGGAGACATGATCACACCGCATGGAGCTGATATGCTGAGGCCAGACCCCAGGGATACTTTCTACAGCAGTATGTCTGCCATTCAGAATTTTGCCCTGTTTGCCTTTTCCACAACGTTTCATCCTGAATTTCTGGCTTCTCGTTTCCTCTTCCTGTCTAATTAACTGCACGGTTCCCGGCGGACTCTTTCTTGCTGCATTCAGCATTGCTGTAATTTAATCAAACTGCTGGCATTTCTTTTTATGTTTCCTGCTTTTGATATTTTCCACTTTTGACCCTCTTGACTGTTAATGTCTTTATGTAAATTTCAAGTCATAATTGTTTCGCAAACTGTCGAGTCATTTCTGTCTCCCTCTTCAGCCCCAGTGATTGACCCCTCTCGGCTGCAAAACGTTCTTCCAGCCTGTCTCTACTCTCCAACCTACGTAGTCAAAGATTTTCCCATCGCCCGATACCAAGGCCTTCAGTTTGTAAGTCAAAAAGAAGTGTTATGTGCTTTTGTTTTAATATCACTGGTCTTTACAGATGACATTGTGGACTCTATTGCAGATAAATGTGGCCAGAGTTAAAGTTTGATTCAGTCAGATCCCAAAGCATTTTCTCGTGGGATCTTAGAAGATTTTGGACAGGTCTGGGTGTTTTATTTGGAAGGAAATGCTTGTGGTCCATACATATTAGTCACATGCAGTAACAAGGCAGGGAGACATTTCTGCAGCTCCCTCAGTTTTACTGTCAGGAATTTTAGCAGCCCTCAGTTTAAGTATTGTTTTTCATCTTGTTGCAGTTGACTGGGCTTCATTTGATTGATACATTTTTACCAACTTCCTTTATGAACTGAATTTGATTGCACATTATATCAATAAGACCAAATCAAAAATGTAATTGGGTTTTAATTTGTCTTTATGATTGGATTAAATTGATTTAGTCATATATTTCCATATATGAGTTAAACCTGTTAGTCTTGTAAAGTGGTCTTAGATTAAATTTGATTAAAACTGAATCAATATTATTATTATCTTTTAAATAATGCTGGTCTTATGTAAAAGTCCAACTATGTCTGGGAAGGACTTAACCACTGTTTCAGCATTCTAAGTATGCCTTTATTTGGGAGTTCTGAAATTGAATCGAAACCAAAGGGCACAAAACAGAAAGAAATAGGAGCACAAAAATGATGTAGGTGTGAGCATAAACACAGAATCAACAAACTCTTTGTGTCAATAGGTAAAAGTGGCAATTGTTGGGCTCTACTCCCCTCTGTGGGAGTACAGATGTTACTGCAACAGATATAAACATGGGAAGTGTTCAACCGAATCTCCTCACTGTAAATTAGGCTTACAGGTTAAATTAATAAATGAGCATTTGCAAGAAAAACTGTTTAAATCTCTCTCTCTTTTTTTGACAAAGTCGCAACTAATTTGAAGTTTGAAGATTTAAAGTGAAAAGAACAGTGGCTTCCCTGCTTGGGCATGTTAGAAAGAGGAAGCTATCAACTCCCAACATTAGATATCCGAGGAGACAAGTGGTTTAAAATCCTGAAAGGGCTTCAGACTTCACAACTGTGTCCTGGCACAAAAAAGTCAGCTCCACTCTGCCCGCTGCTTATTAAACAAGTCAAGGGGCTTTTGGGATTCTGTTCTGGGTTCGCATAAATTAAAACTGGAATGTTTCGATTCAGTGGATCAGTGGTAAGCCCCTCAGGAGGAAGAATGAAGCTTCCCCCGGAAAGAACGCCATGCCTACGGAGATGCTTTGCAGTGGCTTAGAGAAGCTCTGGGGCTGCTTTGTTTCCTTTAGTGCTGAAAACCTACATGGTGAGGATTCAGTCAAATATCAGGAAATCCTATGAGAAAATTCCATGCCGTCTGTGAGGAAGGTGAAGCTTACGCCATCAAATAGGACGATGATTTCAGTCATATTTCAAATTCCACCAATGCTTGATTTCAGAAGAAATCCTGAAAGACACGAGAGTATTCATTGCAGTGGTCTGACTTGAAACATATTCAAAATATCTGATGAGATTTTAAAAAAAGATGGTTGCAGGACACAAAGCCAATAATATTAGTGAATTTAAGGCCTTTGTCTTAAATTCACTAAAAATTCTTCATGAATTATTCCAGAAGCTGTTCTGTAGCTTTAAATCGGTGGTTGGTTACTTGTAGATTAGATGTGATGCCAAAACGGTTGATAGTTAATCATTAACACTCATCTTTTAATTAAATGTGAAACAGCTAAAATTTCAAACCATCTCCTTGCACAAGCATGTATTCAATAATAGAGTTGTGTATGACAGTCTGGACTGAGATGCGACTCTTTTTTCAGGTCTACCTATCTTTTGTCTACCCTAACGACTTCACACGTCTCACCCATATGGAACGGGAAAACAAATGTTTCTACAGAGAGTCTCCTATCTACTTGGAGAAGTAAGCACATTTAGCTTTATCTGTTTGAGAGACAAACAAACATTTGTCTATGTCTTGAATAAACAAACAGCTACGCAGAAAAGTGTCCTAGCGACCTTCATGGTACAAGCTTAGGCAAACTCTCTTACTTACAGCCTCCACTTATAAACCTACAAGTAACCTTCAGTTAATGCATGTGGTCATTTGTGGGTGCTTCTTCTTCCTTTGTCTGCCAGATTTGGTTTCTATAAATATATGAAGATGGATGAGGAGGAAGATGACAGACTGTTCTTTTTCCCCAACCCAGATGGTAAGTTATAATGAGCAAACACGTACTCCTTACAATAATCCCTGCACACACACACAAAAAAACACACACAAACCTGCAGCTTGTATTTGAACAAATGTTCGCACTGTATCAACTTTGAATCTCCTTCATTTGACAACAGACTTTCTTGAAGAAGAGGAGGTCGTGGATGCAGAGGACGAGGCAGAGATTGTTGGGACGCATTCGCCCAGAAAACCTTCTCATCCAAGCCAGTCCAGTCATATGCATAATTCTTCCCATCAGCACTCAAAAACTGGGGCCACACCCGCAGGCAGAGAGGAAGAGCAAGGTAAAGAAGATCTAAAAGAAGAAGAAGAGGAGGAGGAGGTGGGAGAGGTCAACAGTATCATACGTCACAGAAAAAGAAAACAGTCTTTTCACAGGGATAGACAGAATGATGAGAGGGTTCTGGACAGAGACTGGGGAAGGGATCATACTCGTGGGAATATGAGACAAGATACAAGGAAAGGACTTGAGGAAGACCAACCCATAGCTCTGTTACCAGACGTGGACAGTGTGGTCAGGGGTCGCACTTTGTCCTGGGTCTATACTGGTCCCGCAGACCAAGACCTGAACAAGAAAGCCAAAGCACAAGGTGGGAGAGGTGATCTTGAGGTACCTCCTAAAATTAGCAAGTCTTCGCTCCTTTTTCCCCAAAAAACCTCCCTATCTGCACTCACCAGCAGAGCGAAGCAGATCCTCAGCAACTCTGCCCATAGCAACTACCCCCATACTAACAGTAACAAGCCTGTTGGGAGCAAGAAGGAGAAGAGAGAGGAGAGCAAGATCTACATTACCAGGCCTCGTCCTGCGAAGGAGAGAGAAAAAGAAAGGGAACAGCGACGGGAGAGGAGGGAAGAGAGGGCATCTCGACATCCTAGAGAAGTTTTCCCTGGAGTATTTTTGTACCAAACTGGGAAGACCACAAGGCTGGTAAACCTGGGTCAAAGAAGACATGGCGGAAGGGGTGGGTCAGTGGTTAGGCACCTTATTGGTGCCCCTCAACTTTGGCACAGCCCTCCTACTAAGGACAGTAAGGCATCAGCACATAACAAAAGTGTCAACATTCAGAGTGAAACTGCAGAAAAGTCTTTTAGCAAAGCAGCAATGACAAAACAGCTAGAAAAAATCAAGAGGAAAGGCGAATCCCGAGATTTAAGGACTGCTGTCACAGCTGACCTGCCCAGTAAAAGAGATATCCAGATCCCTTTGTCCTACCACCAAGAGCCTCCTCCGACCCCGGCCTCTGAAACAAGGTTAAGCTATACAGAAAACACAGTCCACAGTCAGTTACGGGTCACTTCTTACCTTAGGACCTCAGAGATTACCGAATCTCAGCATCAGCTAAACCCAGACTCCCACCTCACTGACATCGATCAAGATACAAACCGCTCTAATCCTGATCCCAACCCCGATCCAGAGCAAGAGCTGGAACCAGAGGAGGGAGAAATGTCAGATTACAGCTACGAGGAGGTCGAAGTCCGGCCAGGTTGGGCAGAGGAAAGCATCAATTGGCAGAGGACGTTCTCAGTTAATCCGATGGACTTCGAGCTACTGCGATCGGACTGGAATGACCTGCGCTGCAATGTGTCCGGCAACCTCCAGCTGGCGGAAAGCGAAGTGGTGGACGTGCTGGCACAGTACATGGAAAAACTCAATGAACGCAATGGAGGGTAAGGGTGAAGGTCCAGATCATGACTTCCCAACTCTTCTCAAATGCTACTACCATGCATGTCTTAGACGCATCCCTTTTCCAACACGCTTGAATGACTGAATGAATGGTTGACCCAGGCTTCTGCAGTGTCGAATGGTATATTAATGAGATAATTCAACTATAATATTAGTGTGTTGGAGCAGGGATTTCGGAAATTTTACAAGTTTAAACAAACCACTTTTGTTCCACATTCTATTTCAGACAGATTGTTTTTGCAACAACCATCCTGGGTTTTTCTTAAGGTTTTTTTTTTCGTGTGTTCTCCAGAATCTACACCCTGCTAAGAATCATCAATGTTGAGAAGCGCCGCGATTCGGCAAGGGGAAACCGATACCTGGTAGAGCTGGAGTTGATGGAGAGAGGACGCAGCGTGGTACGGCTTTCAGAGTACATTTACCTGCTGCTGCACCGTGGAAGGCCAGGAGAGGAAAGCGTGGAGAACACAGACTCCGCTCCGGCCTCTGCGCCGCCCCCGCTTCCCTCTGCGTCTGCAACCAGCTTCACCACCCAGCATCCGTCTCCTTCCACCAGGTCCTCGGTGCGGCCCGGCGCGACACCGTGGAGCACTGCTTACGCTAAGCCTCTTCTCTGCCAGCCTGTCATGCTGCAATGGAGGCGAGATGTCATGGTGCACTTCGTGGTGCCGGGTCAGTCAAAAGCGTTTCTTGCTCAAAAAAAAATTTAAGTGCATCATGAAAGAGACTGTTTAAACTATGCTCTTTATATCTAAAAGATAAATTTTTTTTGTATGCATTATTGTCCTGTAGTGAAAAACCAGGCTCGCTGGGTGCAGCAGTTTATTTCTGACATGGAAAATCTTCACCAGCAAACAAAGGACGACAACTTCAGCATCATTATTGTCGATTTTGAGAGTGAGGACATGGACGTGGAGCAGGCTCTCAGAGAGAGCAGGGTGCCAAAGTGAGTGTTGGGTGATGTTTTGTAGCATGACACAAAAGAAAAGAAAAGAAAAGAAAAGAAGAAAAGAAAAGAAAAGAAAAGAAAACCCTTAGAGCTGTTCAGAAGTTTTAAAAGTTCCATAATGGTTACAGAGATTTTGAGATTTATTTTATTTTTTTTACAATGTAATGCTGCATTAACAAGCTTTCTGAAGGTTGTGGTATTGTAATGGGCTGGCTGCTGTAGCTTTCACATAGTGTTTTTTATACAAGGCAGTCATTCTGGTTTTTCAGGTCAGTTAGTAAAAAAAAACTTCTCTTTCGACTTCTAACTTGGAAATTTCAATTTTTAGCAAATTGGAATTATATCACAACCAACCAATGCCAATGGAAAACTTTTTTTTCTTCTTTTTTAATCTTTTAAGATTAACACAAGAAACAGAAAAACTCCATATCTGTTTATTCTGCTTTAAAATATATATATACCAAGGTGGGGATGCTTGGGAAAACATGGTATTTACTGAGGTGGTACTTGTTATAAAATGTTAGAGGACCACTGCCTTAAGGCTCCCTTCAGGGGGGTTCATTTGATGTTCTTATATGGATTTGTTTTGGCAGATATGAGTACCTCAGAAGAGAGGGAAACTTTGAGCGCTCGGCAGGGCTGCAGATCGGCGTGGACACCATTAAGGTTAGAGAAACAAACACACCGAGGGAAGACACGCTGTGTGAGCTGGCAGGGTAAAACCCCCTTGCCCAAGGTCAGGCAGTGACCACTCGACCTTTTATGGCTGATAGGCAGATGGAAAGAACACTCATGCATAATGAATCTATCACTGCCGGGCCGGTCTGTCACGCTTTGCGGATTGCCCACGTCTCTGAGCCCCCTCCTGCTTCCTTTGACCATCTCCCACTGAGCCAAGCTTGGGATGGCAGGGAATTGCTTAGACGGGAAGCGTCATCCCCTCTGCTTTGTGTATGTCAAAGCTGTCACATCCATTTCTTTTTATGGCTTATTTGTGTGCATACGGCCCTGCTGCATTCTCCGTTGGTTTCTCGATCACACATCTGTGCACACCGATCCAGACAGGGCTGAGAGCTGCCCAAAATCTGGATAGACGTTGATCCGCCATTTGGGTGTCAGGTCCGTCAGTATGAGATGACGGAGTTGTCACTCATGTCTAAGTGACCTCTGGGATATTTACGTTAAGACGAGCTACTGATGCCAAGCTCGCACTTCTCCCCTGTTTCAATCTTAAAATACCAAATTAGACACAAGTGACCAATCACTCACATTTAGCACTTCCTTAGAGCAGTGTTAACCTATGGGGGGGAGGATACAAATAATTAAACCTAATGATGCTTAGATTGATGGAATATTTTTATTTTTCTACTGCAGGACAGTCACAGTATAGTGTTTCTTTGTGATCTGCACATTCACTTCCCTCTGAACATCTTGGAAAGCATCAGGAAGCACTGCGTGGAAGGACGCCTGGCGTTTGCTCCCATCGTCATGAGGCTGAGCTGTGGTAGTTCACCTCTGGAGCCTAATGGTAAGACACAACTGCAAAAAATAAAAATAAAGCATCTTTGCGCATCTAAAAGATTTTTTATGAATTCTTGATTTGACTAATCTCTTCTTCACATGGCAATCTTGATTCTTTCACCAATTTGGACTGCTATTCAGTGGGAGCCTGGCTGCTTTTGTCTCACAGGTTATTGGGAGGTTAATGGCTTTGGGCTGTTTGGAATATACAAGTCAGATTTTGACAAGATTGGAGGAATGAACACCGAGGAGTTCAAAGACCGCTGGGGTGGAGAGGACTGGGAACTTCTCGATAGGTATATTAAGTAAATGAAATTGTACATAAATAATTCCCTTTGAAAAATTACGTCCCTTTCTTGTGACCTTTTTTCTTTCTTTCCATGTGTTCCTTCCTTTACTCCTCCTTGTTTTTGTCGTGCCCTGCTCATATTACTTGTATCTCGCTTACTTTTGTTCATTTCTTTTATTCTTTATATTCCGAATGAATCTTGACATGTCAATAAAGCTTCACTGTTTTAGATTCTCACACATAAATGGTAGTTTCCGAGGTATTAAATGTCATGTAGAGAGGAAACATTGTTATGAAAGATGAGAAAAGGAGTAGTGTATTTATTGCAGCCAATGTCATAATAACATTGCCACTGCATAATTTTTTATTTTTATTGTGTGCAGTCCTGTCTCTAACCTTTTTTCGGAGACTTTAAAAAGCACGCTACAGCATCAAGCTCACGTGGGATCCTCATAATTCCATGTGCATGAACATATCCATGTATAACTCCAAATGTTTTTAGGTCTTAAAAAATATAATACATCTACATTATTCACAAATCCTTCATTGTGACTCTGAATTGGCCAACATAGATTTTCTTTTTTTGACTTTTTATCCCGACTTGTTTGCTTCTTGATATTACATTTTCCCCTTGTTCTTGTAAAGGCGTTATAATGTTACAATATTTTTTAAGTCATTCTAATTCCATAAAGCACATTCAGAAAAGATAAATAAATGTACAGAAGCACTTTTTAAAGCAAACTTTTCTTTATCTTTACATCGTTATTTAGTTGTTTTCAATATATGCAAATATATATATATACAGGTGCTGGTCATAAAATTAGAATATT